AGCCTCCTGAGGATTTATGCTGAGACCCTCATTGCCTCACGAATTTGAGATCATACGAAGAGAGTAACTTGAAGAGCTTAGTTTGGCACTAATATGGAGTTCTACCACTCTCTAAATTAATCTAATAGGTCTGTATGCCAAAGCTAAGTTAAGGAATCTATTGGCCGATTTAGGAATAAATAACACGTACACTTTCCTACAATCTTCCGGAATGTATGTCCAGCAATAACTACCGCTAAATAGCCAGAAAGATGATTAATAATGTCCTTAATACTCACCCGCTCCTTTGAAGGGTTCAAAAGGCTCTACAATCTTCCGTACATCATTCCTAAAAAAAAAATACAAATTTTTTCGAAAGTTGTTCTGGTCGGTTTAAAGGTGTTGTTTGGAGTTATTTAAAAAAAAAAATCCTAAAATAAAAAATAGAGAATTTTGAAATTTCAAAATCGTAAACTCGTGTATTTTTACTGATGTTAAAAGATCCTGAAATTTTTTAAGAAGGTATGCTTTTACATGTTATGAATTTTTGAACTTTGAAAAAAAAAAATACAATACAACCCTAAATTAAAAATAAATTTAAATGAAATAAAAACTGCTTTCCATAACTCTGCAACATTTGCTGAGACATTCAAAAAATAAACTTGTAAATCTCCAAAATTTTAAAAATTAGAGCTCCGGGATATGAAAAAGGAAATGTTCTAACCGAAATTCATCCAAATCAGAAAAGGTCGATTCCGGCCAGTGCACTGCAGTGGTCGATTTGACATGGATTGATCTAGCAGATTATTCAGAGTCTCGTTATTATTGTTCGTAAAAGTACCAAATTGTCTCCATAAAAGACCTATCCCGTTGGAGGAATTATTTGATGGTATTTTATGCAGACGGGAGACCATTGACTCGCATTGCTACCTCCACGATTTCCTCTCCAATTATATAAGTCTTTTATTGTAAGTAAGTTCAGAATTATACTCGACCTACTAATTAGTCTCTTTGGCCCTATTGAAAGGCTTCATAACAGGTTTTCGCTTTGGATCCAGTTCCTCGTTACACCAGGTAAGAGTCCGTTTAAATTTTTTTCTATATAAATATTGGGTGTAACCCTGTAGCAAACAAATCAGGTGATCTCGGCTAGGAGGGAAACATCTGATTCCCTTTTCCCTTGTAAGTATGCACAATGGCTAGCCGATCAACATTGTTGTAATTGCTTTGTAAAAATAAAATTATTTACCGCAAATATTTAAGTTGGCTTGCTGTAGTGTAAAAAATATAGAAGTAATTTTTATGAGTTTAACTAAATAATTATGAAAATCCAAAGTAAATATTTTCCATTTATTGTATAATTATTTTATTATTATATAAAAATCACCTACAAATTAGTTTTTAACATATTTACATAAAAAATTTGAACGAACTTCAAAATGACGCTTTACTTAATATTTACTTTCAGTTCTAGTTTTCAAATATCAGTGCAATAGAAAAAGTGTTTATTAGATTATTGTATAAAACAATGCAACTATATACATGCGCATTATATACCAACGGTGGGCAAATGCGGCTCTTTTCATAGAAAACTGTCATTTATTTTAACCTGATTTTTTGTGCAGAAGTGGTATACCAGTTGTTTAGACTTAAATTTCGCAAAAGCTAGGCATTATAAGGGAAAGTTCCGCGATGATTGCTGCTCGTCGTCTGCTCCTAGCAGCTGTGAGTCGCAATCGGTCAGTGTCGTCTAAATTTATCGGTAATTGTTTTACCTTCAATGCAATGGACGTCTCGCGTATCATATCTTGCTCTTACTGCCTTTATTTGATAGGTGAATACTTTGTCCTCGAAAACGAGCCACAAACGCGTTCCAATTACAGTCGTACATCGCCAAATGTTCCTTGGATTTGGTCACATAGTTGCGCTTAAAGTCGAATGTGAGCTATGGCGCCACTTATCGCGCGGATTGCGGTTTCATCATCAAATAGCTACTTATGTGAAATATGATGTACCCATTCACTTGAGATGCATTCAGTCCCAGACACTTCACGCAAATCTATTTACCGATCAGCCAATGGTATTTCACGGATTTTAACGGTCATATGATTTTTGGCTAATAGACTGATTTATTTTGGGCGACCGGAACCATCGAAATCGGTGATGCAGAGTATCCTTATATTTATCAAAGGTTTTCGTTTAAAAATTTAAGAATTATCCAAGTGATTTGTAATCACACAATTAGTGACAAATAAGTATAGACGTTTTTAATTACTTTTTTTCTACACTCAACATAGTTAGCATTAAAATACAATAAATGTTATTAAATAATCATCTTCTCTACCTTATTAGTTCCCATTATATAAAATATAATTTTTTTTGACAAAACATTCAACTAATGCGGCTCTGTGATTTATTAGCTGCAAACATCTATCCGCTTCCAGTAACACAAGCCCTTTTTGCGAAAGATTTATGATCTTCGCTTCGTCAAGCAGTGATTGAAAGTGGGCGAATGCTTGTAACTGTGTGTTTTTGTATACATATATGTGGACATTTACATACATACGCTTGTATTTATATGTAGTTAGTCCAACTAACTTATTAGTAAAAATGGTGGTAATAAAGGAAGTAATAATAACAATACCAATAAATATTAACAATAAAGAATAAAAAACACTACCAAATTTGTATAGAGGCGTTCCATACCAAAACAAACGGGGTTCACACATCATGTGTTTGATTTGTGTAAAATTTTTAGGGTTGATTAGGGCTGTGCGATTAATTGATTACTCAAAATTTTAATTAATCATAAAGTAAATAACTCAGTTATTCGATTAATAAGAAATTATGATTACTCAAAAATTCAGTTACTCGAGTAATAAAGATTTTTGATTAACCAAAAAAAAAAAATTGGAGTAATTTGCTTTATGATTAATCAACATTTCGAGTAAAATGAGTAATCAACATTTCAACTCTTTATATACATATGTATAAAGTAGTTAAAGTTCCTTGATACTTTGAAAACAACGTTTCTGTTTTCAAAAATTAAAACGAACATTTTTTTCATATACAGAATGTAAAAAAGAAAATAAGCATTTTCCAAAGCAAACTCTTTTAACGAGCAAAATTATTTTTTTTTTGAGTAATCATATTTCAAGTAACTCGATTCAAAATCTTGATTACTCGAGTAATTGATTAACCGAATAATTGATTAACCAACTTTCTCGAGTAATCGAATAATCGCACAGACCTAGGGTTGATGCATAAACATAAATATTAAATAAATATGAAATTTCTGCTTGATTAATAAATGTTTAAAAACTTTATGGATCAAAAACAAAAACAATTCGAATTAATGGTTTTCCAAGCAAGATATTCATAGTGGATCATCGATGATGCTTATGGTGCCCATATGTCCTATTAGGGCTCGTAGATCACTCCTACTTTGTTTGAGAAGGAATTTGCTACCACCCAGTCAGGCCATTTCAGGTATCACTTGTTTGTCAATACCACACCAACGGCTCTCATGAGTTTTGTTTATGACCCCATTAATGTACCTGATCGCTTCCGCTATACTTGGCACTAAAATAGGCTCCAGTCCAATTGGATGCTCCAGAGAAACGCAGTTCGCCAATTCATCAGCAAGTTCGTTGCCTTGAACACCGTAGTATCCTGGCACCCACACAAATTCAAGCTCATTCCATTTTGTAATGGAGTTCAGCCTTAATTTACATTCTTGGATTACATTTGAAGAGGTGCGAGCAGTTTCCAAGGCCTTTAGACTCTGAAGTATAGAACAGCTTGGCTGTCAAGGGAGATCCCGATTTTATGTCCTCGCTACCTTTCGCCAGTTATCTAGTCTACTACTTTCAGTATTGCAAAGACTTCCGTTTACCGTTGCATCCATCTTCTGTGCCAGTTTCAGTCTTTGAGACATCGGTTAAGAAAGTTTTCACCGAGCTTCCCAAGAGAGTATCTGGATCTCTCCATTATTCCCTTGTAGGAAATCTAACGACGTACTTTTTTCCAAAGGAGACCACAGATATCAGTTTGTCGTATGGAGCCAAAAACAAAGGGTATTGCTCTGACCACCTTCTGAACAACAGAGCAGCGTACATGACGATTGGCCTGACTAAAACTATATCCAAATTACCATAGCCGATCTCAGACGCCAGGTCTTACTAAAGCTTCTCCGACACTGTCCGAAAACTTCCAGCGCTCGATTTAGCTTCAGCTCAACGTGAGTTTGCCATGTCACCTTCGTAACCCCGTCTGAGGGCATCCTTTCCTAACCTCTGCCATGGTACAAAGGCTAGTTCCATCTCGCAGAGTTAGCAATCTTCTCGATAATATGAGGGGATTCCCCTCAACATCAGCAAATACACCCAACGTGTACTCGTCTGTTTCCAGCCCCACCTCGATCCTTGGTGTACATGTTGATCAACACTAAGGGGGCTGTTCACTAAAACCCTTGCATGTACTTCTCGACCGTCCGCTTTAGACTTTTCACAGCTTTTCTTTTGCTTCATCCCGCCAGATTTCTGTCTGTGTAATAGTACCTAAGCATGCATCTGCGCTTGTATTCTAATTCTCAGTGCATTGCCTCAGCGCTCATTCATTTACACCCTCGTTGCTTAGAAAAATTCTTACATCTCTAACTAGCTTTCTAACTATTCGCGTTCATGTGGGTGTGTAAGTATGTATTTGTAATATTTCCATTTTTTACTCTGTACATACAAATATTCATAACTTATTTAGTAAGGTATATACATATGTAGTATATAGAGTACAGTATACAGTATGAATATTGTTTGTAATTTTGCGGCGACTGTCAAGTGTTTGCCACTGTTGTTCTGCTACATACGTACATACATATGAGTGTTTAAGTACTTATTTCTGCTATTGTTGCTATTGTTGATGATATTCTCAACAAGTCATACGACCATACCTACATATGTGCCAATCCAGCATTCAAGTATCGCTGTCGACACAGTCTATCGGCCACTCAGTCCGTGTCAGTTTGTCCCCCAGTGCGCGTTTGTCCAGTTCATTGTGTATAGGTGGATCTTGTCACTTGGACAAATGCTTTATAAGCAGATTCGTCAGTGAAGCGTGGAAAACTTGGCGCACTTTAGTAATGTCGGACCAAAGGATATATTTGTGTATAAATCAAAGTGAAGTGTCATAATGAATCGGAAGCTTTTTGCAATACAACTTTAAAATAATACTATGTGACAGTGACAGTTTTATTTTCACGCGACATTAATGTGTACATCAAAATGTAAATAAAGTCTAGCTGAAAAGGATCTTCGAATGGCTCTGAAAATTAAGAACTTTGACCAAAAAACCGGTTAATTCTGTAAGCAATCCGATAGGGAAAAATATGAAAGCGTGAAAATTAAAAAAAAAAATTGTTGCTCACCTATAAACTCGATCTTCAACCTAGTTTTCTACCTCGGATCCTTCATACCACTATGATAAACCACAAAGGCTATGTTTAAAAATACCATTTCTGTTAAAATTGATGTTACTTCAGGAGTCCCTCCAGGTAGCCACCTAAGTCCGGTTCTGTTCTCGCTTTTTATAAAGGATATTTTCCAAATTTTTAATGTATGCAGATGATGTAAAAGTTTATAAATCGTACGTTTCAATAAAAGTCTTTGCTACAAACAGCATGGCCAACTGGTGTACAGTAAATAAGTTTTATGCCCCTAAATTTATGTATCCGTTGGCCAAGGTGTTGTCAGTAACTTAACCTCACTTTTTCGGCAGGTCTATTCCGGTTACGCATTTTAAAGTAATATAAAAGGTACTAATTATTTACGACTTTTAATCCGTTTGTGCATACTATTTCGAATTAAATGTAGAAAAATATATAATTACAGGCTCATAAGCCTGAATATATGTTTGTATCGTCAGCTCCACACAGCTTGGACATATATTGTAAGTTATAAAAAAGTAAAGGCCGTAAAATAAAGCAATTTCCTATAAAACTGTTAATCATTTTTTAAATAGATTAAAACACATAAATATCGATAATATAAGCGAAATCGTAATTTAACCGCTATATTCTAGTGTATCAGTAGTCCATTTGGCTCGATATTATGACAATGCAGCAAAAGATATTCAATATGTGTACATGTTTTTCCATTGATAACCACGATATCTTTTATATTTTATATTTTGAGTACAAAAATTATACAAATCCAGCAATTTTAAATATTAATATCGTTCTGAAAACACCAATTTCTTTAAAAATCGCAGTACTCCTAAATGGAGATTTTAGATATTATTTCCCAACGAATAGTAGTATAAAAATTAAGATCGGCATGTCCGTTGGCTTAGTTCGAAAACGTGCCACGTTCTTTTTACAACGCTTTTATCAACTTGCAATGTTGTGCGTCCAGACACTTTCAATGTTTTGGATCCAGAAACTTTCAATGTTGTGTGTCCGACACCAAAGCAAAGCTTTGAAAAGTTCCTATAAAAAAGCATAGTGCATAGGGCGACAGCTGTAGTGAATAGGGCGAGGTAGATGACATCTAGATGTCGCCCTATGTACTACGTTTGCTACAGCGGAAATAGACGACACGCCATTTCTTTAAATAAAATTAATTGGTGCTCGTTTGTATGTACATACATAT